CACACACACACACACACACACACACACACACACAGTCTTGTCTCCATGACTTCAGAGGACGTTACAGTGGCTGACTTTGATTTACTGTAGAATCTAGAACTGTAACCACAGTTACGACTTGTCTGATCATAATCCTAATCTTAACCTGACTTTACCATAAACTAAACCTGACTTTAATCTAATCTTAACCTGACTTTAATCTAATCTTAACCTGACTTTAACCTAATCTTAACCTGACTTTACCATAAATTTAACCTGACTTTAACCTAATCTAAACCCGACTTTAACCTAATCTTAACCTGACTTTACCATAATCTAAACCAGACTTTAATCTAATTTTAACCTGAATTAACCCTTACCTTAACCTGACTTTACCATAAACTTAACCTAACCTTATCTTAACCTTAAAACATGTCTTCACCATAAAATTGAATTATGTAAGTTATGGGGACTTTTTGTCCACATAAGGACGACAAGTCCCCGAAATGTTATTGTATAAAACTGATTTAGGTCCCGACCACATATGAATAATACCTGGACACACACACACACACAAACCTGCTAAATGAAATGATAATAAAACGTGTGATGACATTTCTCGGATGCGCCTCCAGCTGGCAGCCTGGAGAGGTCACCGTTTTCCCGAGCGCCCAAACATCCGTACATCTGCGTCCCCGAGTCGACGAGGCAGAGAGAACCCACCGTTCCACATCATGTGACATGATCTCAGTCCGAGGGTTTTCTCTTTTATTACGAGCCGCAGTGATTTCCTGCAGAAAGGAGGCGCATTTAGAAACGAACCCGGGGTGTTTGAAGATTTGTAGGAGGGTAATTGGAAATGTGGGAAGATATTTTTACCATAACAAGTGGCTGGTTTGCCAACGAGGCCTCAAACAGTGAGTGAAACGTTCAATCTGGATTAAGACACAATGTTCCACATGAGAAGTGTTTTTAAAACATATAATTATTCAGTATTTTATTGACACAATCATCGTTAATGTCGCGCTGAAACGACTTGGAGACGCATCATCGCCATATTCGACACGTTGCTACAGTTCCCCGGTGCTTTGAAGAGACGATTATTTTACGATGAGTTTCGTCTTCTGTAGATTTCTCTCTTTCTTGCTCGTCCTATTTAGACTCTGGGCTGTTTTACATGAGCTGTAATTTCACCGTCTGGGTCGACATCGGAGCTTTGTCTCGTCCCAGTGAGAAACTTCAAGGATTCAACCTCAGGACGACTTTAATTACACACATTTGTGGCCAAAAAAATCAACATGTGATATGACTTTCGAGGTCTGAGCCGCGCTGACATCTACAGGGACCTGTCTTTGTTTCTGTGACTGCAGACATGCAGACACCAGATCTGGACGACACGGCGGTTTGTGTCCTTGTTCGACCCCACAACATGCCAACTGCTGCAATAACTCTATAAACTTACACTTGTACTGTGCTGCAGAGTCGTTTCATACTTTGAATTAACTTCTCCAGTGTTTTCATTTAATAACTGTTAAAACTGTGACCGCATTAGTGATAAAATATCATCATCACACAAATCTCTGCAGCAGAACTTTGTTTATTCTCATTCTTCTCACATGAATCATCTCCTGCTCCTCAGGTTTATCTTGGAACCCTCTGAGGGGTCCATCCCTTAATCTGTGAACCACCAGACTATATCGGCTGCCTAGCTTCAAATAGGAGTCAAAGCTTTAATTTACATTAACGATCTAATAAAATCATATTTGATAAATCACTCAGGTGGCATTTTACTGCACAGCAAGAACTTAAAAGTAGGATTTCTAACTCATTCTGTGTCCTTCTTCCACCGCTGCCTCGCTGCGTGAAAAGAAAACTTACTGTCCACAAGCTACAACCACAAAATGCTGCTTGTGCATTGATGCTTTAGTGTTTTTAAATGTTTGAAATTTCCAGTAGATTTAGCTGATTATGTGTTTTTTGGGAGAACAAGCATCAACTTGTTGCTAAATCAATTCTCTACAACCCTCACATACCATTCTGTTAATCTCCTTTTGGAAAACAAAAAGGAAAAATACCTTTGCGTAACATCTACATCTCCAGCCCTGCTCTCGGCTCGTCTCTTGAGATTATCTGTCTCGTCTGAGCAGCCACAGACGAGGGACTGACGCTATCGTTTCTAACATCTGCCACTCATTTCAAACACTGGCACCAAAACCCGAATGTTCTCACACAACTTTGTGGCAAAGAAACGGCACAAACAGGATTTCGATTTTTATTTCATGTATTTATTTCCAAAGCAATGGGAATAATCACTGACAGCAGTGCTGGCCTGGATGAGTAGGCAGATAATGTAAGAAATGGTTAGTGGATAGTGAGCAAAACACTTGGAGCACTTCAAGCAGACATCATGTAAAGCACATAAATGCTGGGAAGGTGTGATAATATGGGATTAAAGTTATCCTGAGATTACACAAGAGATGGGCCGTGAATTTCTACACGGGTATAATGACGGGTTGTCAAGAGACGGATACCTCAGTGTTTATAAAATGTGTTTTTTTTTTTCCAGAGGAGGCCGCAAACACTACACACATTATATAAAAGTAGTGATACGTTGATATCCGGATGATGATGTTGACAACGCTGCACTCGTCAGACCGATACTTGGAGTTTAGTATCGACGAGTCGCAGCCGGTCTCTGGGGTTGAGTCCTGGAGGCGAAGTATCTCTGGTAGGCCAGCTGAGAGCCGTGGCGATAGGCGTAGAAGCGACAGGGCGAGTAGTCCTCGCAGGTCTCTGCACGCCGCTCCGCAGGAGACTTCACCTTCCTGCACAGGAAGCAGGGGAGGGTGACAGTGTGGAATGTCAGGCAGAGACGGTTAAAGGAGGAATGGTGAGAAACAGACAGTGGCTCGAGTTTTGTTTGATATCACAAACTGAATCCAGTCGAGCTTTAACCTCCAGCTTCAGGCTCCCTGTGTTTGTTTCCAGCATGTGGGAACGTTTAACGCTCTAATTAAGCTTTGTCTCAACGGTTTACAAAATCGTGTGGCTTTTCTCGCCTGCTGCACTGTGGTTTTCCATTCGCATCTGATACAGGAAGTGATTTTTATGCCTCGTTGTGCATGTCTGTGGTCGCGTGTTTTACCTCATGAGGTTGTAATTGAACTGGCTGCCTCTGGGCAGGTTGAGTGCGTTGCTCCTGTCTGGTGAGATGAAGGAGTTGGCTCGGCTCGGAGGCACAAACAAATCTGGAACCACAAAAAACTTTACTAGACAACTTTCCTCGTCGAGTTGTGTGAGTCGTGCCCCTCATGCAACTGATCTGGGTCAGACGTAAAGTGGAGGACGAGGGTGTGTGAGTGAAGGGTATTAAACTGTGGAGCAGGCTGATTGTTAGAAGTGCATGCATGTTTTTCCATGAACGAGAGATTTAATCACCTTCGATGGATTCTGTGCTTTCATGAGATTCTATGGGAAAAACATGGAATCGGGTTAAGCATAGATGATGAATCACCGTCTAACTCTGACATATTAGCTGTTATGAATGAAAAATGGCTGCTGAGCGACAGCCGAGCGAGGATGTGAAGCTGTACCGTAGCAGACGCACACAGACGCCACTGCACAGAGTGCCAGAAACTGAAGGAGGCTCCTCATCCTGGGGCTTGTTTGTCCTCCTGTCTGCTGGAGGAGAGGAGAGGAGAGAGGTGTTTCAGTGAGACCTGTCAGCACCAGAAATAAGCATCAGGAAAAGAGGGAGAAAAAAGAGTTAAAAGGATCTAGGGGAGGGGGAGAGGGGGAGAGAAAGTGGCTCAGACGCCTCAGATTCTGTGGGTAAACAGGGGACGAGAAACCACAAGCAGAGATAGACGGTGGCTGAAAGTCTCTATATCTGTGCTTGTGGTTTTGCGCATGCAGCCGGAGACACGCTGTCCTGTACATGTTCACATGCGGCTGCAGAATTCATCCGTGTGGACAAACCAAAGATCATATTCATGAGAGGAGACAGGAAACAAGCGTCCAGAGGTCGTGTCTGTGTTTTCTCCAAACACACGTTCAGCAGCTGGAACCTCAGTTTGAAGAGAAGAGTGAAAGGAGAATCACTGAGACGCTGCCGACTGATCTGAGCTCTCACGTCTAACGCAGGGAGATTAGCTGTAATGATGAAGACGCAGGTCTGACACTCGTACTGCACAGGTATGATTTGCAGTAAGGTGTGTGACACCTGTACAAACAGCCAACGCCAGATGTTTCAAACACACACACTCTGTTCTCACATGCCTGCAGTGCATGAAAGCTTTCATCCCCATCTTCTGTTTGTGGGATTTGGACGGTACTCCTTTTTTTTTTTTTTTTCCACCATCAATAGTTGCATTCATGACACATGAGCACACGCGCACACAAATCCGTGACACGTGCTCGCACACGCACTCACAACATCTACCTCGGGCCCTCTGGCATGTCTTGGCTTCAAGTGGAACCAGTGGGCACAGACATAGCAAAGTCAGGGGAGTTCAGAAAGAAACACAATCTTTCAAGGGTGTGTGTGTGAGAGAGAGAGAGAGAGAGAGAGAGAGAAAGAGGTGCTGACAACAGAGTTTTGATGCCCTCAGAGTCTTTGGGGTCCTGGTGGGTTCCCAGCGTTCCTCCCTGCAGAATGTGCCAACCTCACTGGAAAAAGTCTGGAATGACGCTCGTGCACGGAGCCAAACCGAGGCTACATACTAAGCAGTCTCTGCAGAACATTGCCCCACGAAGCATTCTACCAAAAACATTTTTCAACATGCATCCTGACCTCACGAAGAAAATGAGCAGCGACGGCAAAAACGTCTTCTCTGCTCCTCACCTGCAGCTGACTTCAGAAGTTAATTTGCTTTCGTGCACTTACCGTGAAAGATAATTATGCAAGCCTTGGAAATATCTCTCCCGAGGAATAATTTCTAATTCCTGAGAGCAGGGCTTTTATACTCACCTCATTTCCCCCCACCCCTTCATGTTCTAACCCACCGACTCCCTCCCCCCCCCCCACCTCCCCTTTAGCCCTCGCCCTCTCTCCTCCCCTCTCCTTCTATCAGCCCTCTCTTCTCCAACACTTAATCGTAACCGTGGGCATTAGCTCACTCTTTCTCTCTTTCTCTCTCTCTCTCTCTCTCTTTCTGCGACTCCCACGTCTTTTTAGGAAAAGCCCAGCAGCGAAGGTGACGGAGAGAAAAACAAGCAGGGGGTAAAACAGAGGGGGAAGGTGACGGAGGCCTGGCACAGGGACGTCTCACCTGCCTCATCACAGGTACACGACAGTGTTTGCTGCCGTTTGTCAGCGTGGCAGCAACACATGAGAAAAACGTCCACCACACAGACACAACTTGGACGGTTAAGTTTTTTGTCCCCGTGTGTCTGAGAAACATGCAACACTTCGGCTGTTTAAAGCTGAAATCAAACACTTGATAAATAATAATACTGTAATTGTGGAGAAGTTTGAATTAACAGAAATTGAATACGAAAATAAAGCGTCAGAATAAAATAACGGAATAATATAAAAATGTCTCCCAGGCCAAGCTCTACGTCTCTCAGAGTGAAAATCGCAAACTGTACGTAAAGATGGGCGACAATACAGCGAACTACAAAAGTGACGCCGAAGTGTCTCCATCGCCACCTGGTGGCTGAATGCAGTACAGGTCACTAACCCATGTTAATGGTTGGGACACGGACACTTCTAATAAATGATAAACAAACATGGTGTGTTGGTTCTGACTTTGTTATCTCAGCTGAATAAAAGTCCTGCGGGGGGNGGAAACAGAAAGACGGGAACAAAACAAGGAGATGAAGAGCGACACGGAGAGAGAATAAGAGAGGAAGAGCTGGTGCGTAAGGGGGGGGGGGGGAATTGACTCATCAAGTTTCCGAGAAGAAATAACATCAGCGTCTTGACAGACTTCCCAGAATGCATTGTTTGAAGAAGAATACAAGATAAGATCAAAACAACAACAAAAGACCTGGTTTGATGACAGGAAACATATTAAAGATTTATTCACGGTACGTTTCGTCCACTTACTCACATTATACGTTACAATTAAACAACAACTAACTAACTAGCCAGCGAAGTGTTTTTCCTTTAACATACATCGTTTGCAGTCGGCGTCCGGAGAACTTGCTTTATTAAGCTGCACCAACTTGAATTTATAAAGAACGTAAACGTGAGCAGCACTGAGTTTTCACTCAGACGCATGCTTCACTTCACCAGACCCATTAAAGGACATGCAGCGGTGAGAGAGAACAACAACCATCTGGTGTTGTACGTCTGAGCGTTACGTAACGCCGCATCACGTTTGGCTCGGAGTGCGAGGGCAGACTCTCACCATCAGTAAACAAACCTGACGAGCAGGACGGTGTATGGCAGCGGCAGGCGGGACTCAGACAGTAAGAAAAACATCAAGACAGACATGGAGATGGAGATAAACCCCGTCGGCAGATAGGAGGGAGGCCGGGGGGGGGGGGGAACTCAGGATTCAGAGGGAGAGAGAGGGAGAGAGAGGGAGTCAGTGGGAGTCGAGACAGAGAAGAAAGAACATGTTGTGGCTGCCGTGGATGTTTTTGGCACGTGGAGCTGCAGACGTACTCAGTGATGTGGTTATATTAGGCCGTATCCTCAGACGTGCACCAACACAAAGGAGGGAGGCAAAGATGGAGGATTGGTTTCTTCCAGATTTGATTTACGGGTGCACGGCCTCGTTTAAGTATTTCTTCCTAAACTTAGACGCAGACGTGAGAGAGGAGGCCGAGCGAGGTGGATGAGAGAAGGTGGAGACGGTGATTGAATGGAAAACCGAAGTCAAATGCATATTTAGTTTTTGAATCCCTCTGCTCCCAGTGCTTTTATTCTCTCTGTTTTTATTTATATCCTCTCTCTGTCTCTGCTCATCATTAAAGTCGTAATTCTGCTTCACCTCTTTTTTTTTTCACTCCTTCTCGTGCAATTAGCTTCCCGTGCTCCTGAGAAATGTTACGAATGCACCTCGGAGACACAGATTCCTGTTTTTTCTCATGACCGTTGGCGGATGAATGATAAATGAAAAACAGGACGGGTCAGGGTTGTGACCTGAGGAAGACACATCTGGTTTGTTTTGGCGACAACGTGGAACGAACCGGAGGGAAAGAAAAAGCATGTGAGGGGAGAAATCGATGCTCAGGCGAAAAAATGCAGGAAAGAACCTGAATTTCATAACGAGGCCACGACCACAAATGTGTTAACTATCCAAATAATGTCTGCAAAAACACAAATCTGACCTGTTTGGGCAGGATTGAGTTTCCCTCAGTGGTTGGGCAGGTGTACCTCAGGCTGCTCTGCGGCTCTGTGGACAAACACAGTCCAACAACAACAACAACAGAGAAAAGAGGAGTTCAGCTTTAATTGCGAGGCCAGATATGTTTTTTCATGGTTCATTTTCTAAACAGTGAGTCACTTCAACATTATATCTGAAAACCAGCGGACACGTTAAGGAGTGAGTGACTCAGACGGAGTCGGTGAAAACATCGTGCGACCATGTAAGCTCATTCCTTGGCTCCGTCGGCCCCGTGGGCTGGAGGAGGATCCGGCCAGACTGGATGAAGGACAGACATTACTCAGGACTGTCCCTCGGCTCTGAGCCTCGGATGCCTCTGTTGTCCTGCAGCTGTGAATTTTGCCGTGTGAACGTCAAGAAAACCTTGTGTAGATTTATGGGTTCTTCTTTGGCTCTGAAGATCTTTTGTTGTTGTCGCACTTGATGTTGAAATTTAAATCAGTGGATTTTGGAGGAGTCTGTTGAAATGAAAAGTTTTCTTAAAGAATCTGGTTACACACACACACACACACCCACTTGTTTTATCAGGCTGAACCTCACCTCCCCTCCCTCCCCTCCCGCCACATATCGGGTTGCACATAATCAGAAATATGGAGAACAAAAAGTCATTTATAAAACTTTGAGGAAACTCAAAAAAAAGAAAGTTAGAGAATATAAAAGTCTGCCTGTTCAGCTCAAAGTGACCTCTCGGACTTTCCGCCTCAGGAGAAGCTGCACAGGTTTCAAAGTTTGAGTTCAAGAGTTAGATGATGAAGTTTGAATCTACGTTCTCGTCTGTACGATAAACATGAAGCTTGTTGTTTTAAAATACCTGGTGTGAGGAGAGGGGCTGAACCTCCTCTTGTATTATTAGTATTTTCTCCAGAAAACCTCTGAAAACAAATTAAATTCAAATTACCTGACAACCCCCCCCCCCCCCCCCCCCCCACACAGCCTGCAATGTATAAACAGTCCTTTATCTCCGTTTGGCATAAACACTGAAAAACAGCTGTCCTGGCCCTGTAATGGAAAAACTCTCCATCTCTCCATCTCATATCCTTCTGATCTAATCTGTTCCAAAACAACTCTGTGCCTTATGAGGGCTGTTGGCAACAAAGTGGAGGAGGACCTGCATCGACCTGCATCAGACACTGTCACAGACGGCGACAATAAAGAACAACTTCTACCGTGACGATCACCGAAGGAACATGAGTCCTGCTGCGGCTTGACCGAGCTGAAGTGTTTCTGGATCAGTTGATCCTCCGGCTGTAAACCGTGTTTACATCTGGATCCTGCACCACCAGTGACTCATCATCCTCATCTCCACCCGCCAGAGGAGACGCCAGGATGAGTGGGGGGGGGGGGGGGGGGGGGGTTCTCCTTCAGAAAATACAAATCTTTGATTAAATCATGCAACACCCTCGAGATACTAAATAACAGCAACATACAAACAAACACTCTTACTGAAGTAGAGGAGGATGGAATTTTTTTATTTCAGGGGGAAGGCCATTTGGTTGTTGGTGTAAAAAACACCATTGAGTGAAATAAACTGTTTTGGCTTTTCATCAACTTTCTGATTCAGTGAGTTTCCGATGAGGAAAGAAACAGAAATGTTTGAATAACTAGTGTCACAGTCTTTGAAACAACATCTACTTCTCCCTCATTCACATTTCCAGAAGTTAAACGTACAATATTTAACTCTTTATCTAGTTTAACACGTCTGTTATGAGATGATTTTACTGAATCTTTAATAACGAAGTTTGACCCAGAAGTTTTAGTGGAGACGGACAAAGCCACAGGTAAACAGAATATGAGGCGACTAAATATAAACCAGTTTCCTTGATGAAACATTTTGGATCGTGTAGATCACAAAGTATAAAGATGTGTTTTTAGACATTTTAATGAAGAATTTCTTGATATCATATTCACAGTGAAGTGAAGCTTAAAGATTTAACTGCATGAACTAAGAGGGAGACAAACCTGCACAGCTGCTGCAGAGTCTCACTTCTTTCCCTGCATCTCCTGTAATCTCTCTCTCCTGCAGCCGAACCTGTCATTACGCAGAGATTAAGAAATAGTTTGTCTCAATACGAGCGCTCAAGTTAAATCTGGCATCATTTTGAGTTTGACCAGAGTTTTGTTAGAATCCTGCAGCGTGCAGGATTAGGCCGGGACGAGCTTGGCTTTTTGCACGTGAGCTTTTAAGTTTTAAACACACTCTAAATGATTTAAGCGTGTCTTTGGCGTGTTGATAAGTGGGTTCAATTGAGGAGGCTTCACTGTGTGTGTGTGTGTGTGTGTGTGTGTACATGTTGCTCAGTATAACCTGCTTCTATTTCTCACGAGAGCTTCATCCAACTCTATCGTTTCATGTGCTGTTTACTTTGGTGCCTCGCTGCTGCTCTGAGGAGCCAACTCTAACAAACTGACCTGCAGAGCATGTGAGCAGCTCCCACCCACCTCCCTCTCTCTCTCTCTCACTCACACACACACACATGTACATGTACATCAGATAACGTTCACAAACAGACAAACAAACACAAACGAGCAGGTTCTCGAGAGGCCACCGAGTTCAACAACGTGAAAGAGCAGCAGGAGCCGACTCTTCCTCGGAGAGATCTGCCGAGAAGGAATTTCCTCCGCCA